AAACATTACATTATTGATTTCTTTAAGTTTTTGGTTTCAAAATTAAAGTTTTGACATGTTCCTGTCTTATTCCTTCTACTATTCTTAATTCTTAAATAAATCTATTTATCACTCCTCTCTTTGAAATTTGAATTGGACTTTCTTTGAACCTTTTTCAAATGATTACGTGCACTCGTGGTTATGCTTCCCTTTTATATTGCTTATTGATAATCTATAGCCAAAAGCATAATTGTTTGGAACATTTCAATCCCGTATTTTTAAAATCTTTTTTACTTTCTATGGGAAAATGAACACCCCACCCCGGCACCCCCTTCCCACATAAAGTGTAAAGTACAGTATGGCAAAAAAAAAACACATTAAAAACCATGATAAATCTAAAAGAGTGACTTCATTTTTGGTATGATATTAATTGGGAATAAAAAGTACCGTAAATACCACCAGAAATATTTTTTTTTCTTAAAAGCGAATCAGCTTATCTGGAAAATAAATGTACACCATCTTAATTTGCTATACTGTTTCTCAAAATATATTATCCTACTTTTTACTATGCTGTCCCAAAAAATATATTCATTTTCCTAACATATATATAGAGAGAGAGCGCACTAGCTTAAAGTATAAGAGCAAATACGTAATGTTTAGGCTTTAGCTAACAATAATGGTATAAATGATCCAAACTAAAATGAAAGTAAAAATTAAGATATTTTGTATGAAAGAGATTTATTTTAAATCCTTTTCCCTTTAATTTATTTGCTGACTTTGTCTTGTACAATAAGAAGGGTCACGTGATGAGATGCCAATATGAAGTCACAAAATCAAAGTTCTTATTTAAAATGCCAATAAAGCACACGTCTAGTTTTTTCTTTTTCTTTTTTGGACACACGACACACGTCTAGATAATCACCCTACCAAATGGACCAAATCCAAAGTCCAGCACTATGATATAAATAGTTTTCACAAATTCCTTTCATCTTCCTTTGCCTTTTCTTCTTCAAATTCTCTTCATTTTCATTTCAATCTCCCCATTTTTTTCTGCCATTATAGTGCTGCATGCATGTTTTCTTGAATAATATAATATGGTACATTTTCTTGTTTCATGCATCTTTTATTTTTATTATGACTCTCCACCTAGTCCTTGAAAAATAATCCCAAAAAACAAAATCTGGGCTGAGGTGGAGCCAAATTTAAAGTTTATGGGTTCAAGAGTCTAGATGTTTTAAATTAATAATTTATATATATTGAATAATTTTTTTAAAAGACAAATATAGAGTTTGGATCAAAGTAGTTCAGCCGAACCCACACATTAATCTCTAGCTCCGCCAATGTTTCTGGGTGACTCAATAGTCTAGATTATTTTCATGGGGTTCTTAGAAAAATTCAAGAAAAGGGTATTAGTCTATTACATTTTTCTTCAATGTGTTAGTGGTTACTATTTACCTGGTAGTTTTCCACACAAACATGAGGTGGGTGATCAGTTATCTGTAAAATTGAATTCCTTAACCTCAATTAACACATAAATACCTTATGGATATTATAGTTAATTACCTTTCTGTAAACCTTTAGAAGGTGTGAAAGATAGTTCTGAATGAGAGTAAAATCTGTTTGTGCCATTATCACCTAATGAATTCAAGATTCTGAAAGAAAGGATTGATAATATGTTTCAGATTAATCTGAATCTTGATAACCTTCCTGCTATTCGATATATGAAAAAAGATGATATTTTTCTTTGGTGGGCTGATTATCCTGTTGGTGTTAAGGTTGATAAATCATATAATGTGTTTAACCATTTAAAATTTACTGTATTGGTTCATAAGTATGAAAAGTACGATGCCCGCTGTGATTGGGGCAGAGTTGATTACAACTGATGACAGGTCTAACACAGATGCACCAGGGTATATGGTAGTTGGATTTGAAGTTGTTCACTGTAGTTTTCAACATGACATAAATTTGCTGAAGAATTTAACACCATATGCTAAATATTCGTCGAAATTAATTGTGATCTTGAAGCAGTAGGACAGATGATTAAGGTTAGGGATTTGATTTTAGCTATGATGAGTGATATTAAGTGGCCATCAAGATGGGATGCATAATTAGAAATGGAAGGCTCAAAAGTTCATTGGTTTTCGATTCTGGATTCGTTGATGGTCATCACTTTTCTAGCAGGAATTGTTTTTATTATTTTCTTGATGAGGACAATTCGAGGAGATCTAGCACGATACAAAGATTTTGATAAAGAGGCGCAAGCACATATGGATGGAAACTTGTTGTTGGCGACGTGTCTGAACTACTTTGTGTGGCGGTTGGAGATGGGTGTCGAATTCTGGAATTCTATTTTTCTATATGTTCTTAGGAATTATTGCAGGATATGTTGCTGTTTGGAGGTTGACATTGGAGGGCCTACGGAGCGGTAGAGGTAGGTCAAAGAAAAGATGGGGACAGTTGATTAGGCAAGACATGGTGCAACTTCAGCTGACCGAAGACATGACCCTTGACAGGAAGGTATGAAGTCAAGGATTAGGATAGTAGAGCAGGTATTCTAGAGTGTTCATAATAATAGTAATGGCACACAGTCTCGCTTTTTGTTGGTAGTAGGTTTATATGACTAACCATTGTTTTCTTTCATTGTTGATCATCCTACTATCTTGTTGTTTTATATGGCTTTTTGGTACAGTCCCTTTTTGTCTATATTTTTATTAATGTGGTGCTTATGCTTTTCTGAGGCGAGTGTCTATTGGAAACAACCTCTCTATTCTCACAAGGCAGGGGTAAGGTGTGCGTACACACTACCTTCCCCCGACCCTATAATGTGGGATAATACTGGTTATGTTGTTGTTGTTGTATGTTGCTGTTTGCCTTTTGAAAACAATGAATTGTGGTGACACTAAGGGATGGTTTTCTATTTCCTGGAAAGTTTCTTGCTTTTCTTATACTAACTATTCTGAATTTCCTCTTATGGGGAAGTCATAGTACTGGTGCAATTCCTATCTCTACTTGCATTATCCTGCTGTTATTCTGGTTTTGCATATCAGTACCTTTACACTCATAGATGGACTAATTGGGACTAGGGGCTCTAAATGGACGGGTCGGGTCTAAAATGGGTAATGGAAAATGGATAAATTATCCGATCCGACCCATATTTAATATGGATAAAAAACGGGTTAACCGGTGGATAATATGAGTCACCATATTATCCATAACTTCTTGCATATGATCACTATTGGGAGAATTCTTAGTCTCTATACCTTGAGGAACCCCCAATTTGAGATTTTACAAATGTAAATGTTAGACCAATTGATTATCAATTGGTTACCCATATGATTCTTATCTATATTTGACTCGTTTTTAAAAAGTTCATTATCCAACCCATTTTTAGTGGATAATATGGGTGGTTAACTGTTTTCTTTTAAATATTTTGGCACCCCTAATTGGGACAAAGCACCATATCTCGAGTACCCTATTCGTAGCAATCAAATTTCAGCAAATAGATTTCCAACTTGGTTGCTTGTAATCGTAGCAGGAACCCTTCTTTCTATTTGGAACTCTCTTCATTGAGCTATATTTCATCATGTCTAGCTTATGGCTCGGTCGTGTTTCCTATGTTTTCAGGTTTCTTTTGGTAGTATTGATCCTGTTGATAGTAGTATGTGCTCAAGTGTCTTTTATGCATCTTTGTGTTGAAGATTGGAGATGGTGGTGGAAATTATTCTTTGCATCTGGTTCAGTTGCTATCTTCACTTTCTGCAGAATATCTTGAAGATCAATTGGAAACTATTTAAGTAACTTAGCTGCAGAATTTGATAGTTTTGTAGTACTACTTTTCATTTTTCCTGCAGCCGAGGGTCTTCGGAAACAACCTCTATATCTCCACACGGTAGGGTAACGTCTGCCTACACACTACCCTCCTGAAATCTCACTTGTGTAATTATACTGGGTATGTATGTATGTATGTTGTTGGTGGTGTTGTACTACTTTTTGAATTCAACAAACTTCTATCATCCAAGATAGTACCTCATATAATTCAAAGACAATAAGTTATTGTTATAGAGAAACTAAATTCTGAGATTGTGTACGAAATGAGTTACAAACTTGCATTGGGATTTTGCAGGCACAAAAACTGGCTTTCTTAGAAAACATTTCTTGCATACTTTATTGTATGGTCGGTCTGTTTAGTTATTGGTGAAATGTTTGCTTTTTTGGTACTCCCTTGTTGCATTGAAAGGGACTAAGAGATTAGGAATTTTTCTATGGAGTAGATGCCCAAGTGGAGACCATAATTGAATCTTGATCATAAAAACCTCTACTCCTATTATTTAAATGTACATCAAAATTTAAACCTTATACCAAACTCCACTCATGTTGTTACTAATTTTAGAATCATACATTATTTATGTTAGTCAACTTTTAGAAACTAATTGTTAATTTCAAGTTATTCCACCAACTAACTTTCCAAAATACCCCTCATTTTCCACACCTTACTTCCCATAACAAACTTGAATTTTTTTAGGTACATCTTCAATTCTAATTCAAAAGCTGCTTTAATTTCTAGGCTTTTATTAATTATATGTAGAGAGAAAATATGAATTATGCTTCGTATGATATTTAACGTTGATGTTTTACAACGCATTTGTAGAAAGTTCCTGTGGTGTTTACAACGCTAAAATGGAAAATCCGTTGGGCCTTTTTGTCAAAATTTTAACAATTCTTGCCTGCACATAAATAGGCTCCACTAGCTGCACTGGGTTTCCAGCAGATTTATGGTGTTATTTACGAGAATTTGTTCAATGCAAGATCAGAACTTCTATTATCTCTTATAAAGTGGAAATTTTTGTGAAGATTATTTTTTTCTCTTACAAATGCAGCAGTATCAGGACTATTGATGATATTTATTCGCGGACGCCTTTATTTCGAATAAATCCAATCTCCAGTGAGACGAGACATACCAACTAGTTGGGGTTGGGGTTGAAGTTGAAGTGTGGCATAACTGTTATTTAGAGAACACTTAATTTGCCTTGAAAGTAGTGGTACTGGTTTCAAATGGAATCGGAAGCATAAGTGTGACATTTGGTTTACGCCAATACCTACATTCCACCTGCCAAATATTTCTTTCCCTCTTTTATACAACCAATCTTGGTGTAACTGAGGACCAAAATACAGCATTTCCTACACACCACCATAGGTCCATAGCAAACATTAGACAGCAGCACCCATAGCAACTGGCCAGAAACCTGGATAGTGACAGGAGATAAAGGAATACAGCAACAATGCATTGCCGAACGATCAGTCTATTTTTTAGCACTCGAAACCTGTATTGTCCGCAACCACATTCAGAAAATGACAATGTCAACAATGGATGACCTACCTACTCACCCAAAGCCAAAAAGAGAGTAAGTAGGTCAAAATGAAGCACTAGTATTAGTACCCGCGCGCTGCGCGGATACTACTAAAGAATATCAAATATAGCCCCCAAGTAAAGTTGTAGTCCTCAATTTACCCATATGAATAATGCTTAATGACCACAAATACAGTCAAAAGATCCATAACCAAATGCGAGTTACCTCAGACGTATGAAAGAAGAATATTGCCTGTTTCAGGTGGAAGTTTCATAAAATTAAAACCAACCACAAGACTAACACCTGCAACTGCAGTGAAAAAGGATAAGAGATCCTGACATACATCAACGTCAATGTACCAAAATCCTGTTCATGAACTCCAACTCTACACCAAAGCGAATTCATTCAGAACTGTTCATTCACTCCAGACTTACAACAAAGTCAATACGTCGAATGACATTTCCTCCCAAAAGAAGCGTAAGCACACAAAGGGAATACGAAAGGACATAATGATGCATGACGATTCTAAAGGTGGACAAAAAGCTTCACATAGAGCACGAAGAAAGTAGTCCAAGAACAGATCTGCACTGGATTGGGACTCCTTAGGAGACATGAGGTCCTTAGAAGTTCAGTTCAGATAGAAGCTATGTACAGCCTGCAATTTACTCTAATCAACAACAAACAAGTATTTCGGAACGCACAATATACTAATGACAGTGTATCAATACATGCAACTAGGTAAGATAGAGGGATCACTGTGCCTCTCGAAGCTCAAACTTGCTGAAATAGGGAATGTTCTTGGCGACGAAGTCTCAGAATGAGCATACCAGAACCTCAGCAAATATTGAAGATCAGTTCCACATGCTTCTGCTTATGCATCCAGTTCTGTTGTAAGGATATTACTACCAGAGACTAATAGCCATATCAATACGCTCACCTCCAAGATTATCTTTACCAACATACGATACATCCAAACGATGCAAGCAAGGACCAGTTGAGCTCCATATCCCCAATTTGCCAAATCTTGGACGATCTTATGCTCCTCAGCAATTTGCAGTATCGGTAGATGACTAGGTGTATACAGAAAGTTATACAAGAAAAACAAATATCACCAAAAAGATGGTCTTAGCACTGCCAGATTGAAAGCCACTCATTCCCTCATCGCACACAGCACAAACGGAAACTTTCATGACCTCTAGGGAAGACCGCCACAAGTGACCACCATGTCCAACTAAGCCAAATGTAGATGATCCTGTAATATAAGCACTCTGTCTGAATCACACATTGTAAGATTATAATCCTTTTAGACTATATTAGAAAACGATGGGATATAAGTAGATTGCAATGCTTATCCTGCATCTGAAGAACCAGACTAGCAGTAAGTAGATTGCAATGCTTATCCTATATCTGATGAACCAGATCAGCTCCATCTGCTACCAATGAAGGCTTTAATTTAAAAAAGACGCTGCGACAAGAAACAGCTGGCAAAAGTAGCACCAATAACGCAATGCATTAAAGATAAAAGCAAAAGGCACCATCGATTTCAAAAGGAAAATGGCCAAAACTTACCCCATGTACTATCCAACATTTCGGAACTTTGCGCTCCGTTCCACTTTGGTCTAATATTACTGCTACCATTAGGAATAGTCTCATTTTTGTCCATGACCCCTAAAGTTGCTCCTCCAACCCGAGAGTAATATAACCCATACTCGAAGTGGAGAGGTAAATTTGGAACTTCATTTCGAAGAATTTGGACCTGTGGATTCCACCCATCTCATGTTGGAGCTCCGTTAATAGCAACAGCAAATACGAGATAACTTGCCAGCTGCGAAGGTATGAATGGACCACAAGTCTAACTCAGGGCAAACATGAGCAATTTCACAAAGTGTAGGCGCAATTTAGAACCCAGAAAGAAGAAAAAGGATCACCGACAACATAATATGCAAAATCAACAAAATGAAAGAAGAAGCGAGTAAGCAAAGGATAACAAAGATTAAAAATATCAGATACAAATTGCAGAAAATAATTTGAGAGTGGCAAGAACTATCAAAAACGATGAAGACCAAATTATCTAGAAGAAAAACACTTCATAGAAACTATTCAAGGAAAGAGATGAGCTCACACTTGGTTTCAGAAGAAACAACCAATTGGCAGACATATGAGGTGGGAGGAGACGTTCACTAATGTGTCCATGAGTAAGATTCACATGAGGAAAGGAAAAGGCAACGAAAGAACTGGAGAATAAAAAGTCATCTTCGTCTTAAGGGGCAAAAAGACCTTTTAGCACACTTCGCTAAATGAGCCTAATATGGGGATAACTGGCTAAAGGAGCACCGATCCGGGGAACTGATCCCATCCCCGATGTGCTATCAGGCATCTCCAGGCAAAACTGATATGTAGTTGATAACATCAAATCTTCGGTGCCTACATCACTAACCATTTTCTCTTCGTTCATCCCACTTCAAAATCTTGACCTTCCCTATAGCGAGACAGAACAGAACAAGTTAGCCAACCCACTACCATCCTCCACTCGACTTTGCTGCCTTTGATAGCTCTTAGGATTACGATTCAATTCCCATAAAAAAAGCTCGCCAGACCCTTCGATAGTTAGATAGCAGAAACAACAAACAGAACAAAGAAGATTAATCTATAGCTAGCATATGGTCACAGATCTGAAAGAGTGGAGGATATATAGGGTTTACAAAGAAATAATAGTGTCAAAAGCAGAAAGGAAATTAAGCAGCAGATACAGGATAGTTTGGGATTCTGTAAACTCGCATTAAGTGAGAGTAAAGAGAATCCCGACCTAACATCACATTATTACTGCCTCGGACGCCCTTTCTTCTTTCCCCAGACTGGAGCAATCTCTCCGCAGACTGGCGCGTGATACCCCTCCTCCTTTGAATGGAATCGGACAAATAAATACCTTCTCTTCTATTTCTGGATTTACCTTCCAATGCTTGAAGATGGAAACTATGAAGAGACCAACTA